AACACAAAGTGAAAATTCTGATCTGATAGTGTAAGGAGTATATTGTCTTGCTAATAGAATAAGATTTGTATAATATAGTATAAATGGATTATAGAAATTATCGAAGTGAATCGATAACTGATAAATCTGATGATGATAGCAATTCACTTGCCCTGCCCAGGCAGGATGAAGAGAAGAAACATCAGAAAGTGTCTTATAAGATTAAAGGTTGATTTCAGAAAATTGAAATCATATTTGAATAGTGATAAAATGGTTTCACTGTTTCGAATCAAAAAAGTGATATGGAGAAGTTTTGTTATAAAGTGAATAAGATAGAATATGGTGAGCAAATGTCACCATAAGGATGTTAAAAGATCTAAAGATGTGATTAGAATTTGTGGAGAATTCGAGAATAAGTGCATCAGTGACAAGCGTATAAGATATATACAATCAAAGTTGATGAGTTTGAAATAAAGAAATAGTACCGTGTATAAGTAAGAATGTGGATAGAATAAGGGTTTGCATTTTGGATGGACAGAGTTAACGCTGGCTAACCAGATTATGTGATGGAAAAGGTATAGAATTTAACGTTTTGAGATGTTGTCAGGATAAGACAACCAAATATAAAATGGATCTGGATACAGTTGTATATTTGGATCATATTGATGTGGTATAGTAATGGAAAAGGAAGTAAGGATTTGTATATTTGGGTAAAGCTGAGGATTGATAAGAAGAGTTTGAGAAGGTATATATCAATGATCAGTTTATAAGACAAAGGAAGCTATGATGTTGAGTTTGAATAACGGAAATTTCAGGATGTATGAGAATGGAGGTGAAATTGACAAGTTAAGTAAACAAATTTTGAGATAATTTTGATTGGAAATGATTTATGTGATTGGTTGACTAGGGTTTGTGCCCTAGATTGGACAAATGTTATTGATTAATTGTCAGAGTAAAGGTTATAAGATTGAAAGAAAATGTAAAGTTGAGTTAATCAACTATGATGTGAATCTGAATATAGTTGTGTATTCTGATCAGATAGCTAGGATGTCAAGAATGAGATAAGTATTTGTATAAAACCTTAAGGAAGGAAAACGCAAGTATAAGAAATGATAAAGAATGAAGTTCTGTATAAGTAAATAGGGTTATCAAAGTTATAAGGATGCAATGAAGATTGATACACATAGATGAGTATAGGTGATAGGACAAGAGTATGTGAATATAAAAGGAAAAGTATGATTTATGTATAAGGAATGAATAAAGGAATAATGAAATAAAGAAATGAAAGGAATTGAGTTAAAGGATCAGACACGACAAAGATTATATGGAAGTGTAGATGATAATTTTGATATAAAAGTAAGAAAAGTGTGCAAGGTGATGTAAAAAGATTCTTTAAAGTGTATGTTGAATCATATTTAAAGAAGATTTAAGGTCGTGTTTTTGGTTAAATGATGATGGAAAATGAATTTGGTTATTATTGTAAGGCAGTTAGAGATGAATTTATGATGTTGAGTGATGAAATTGGATGTTACTGTAATGAATGACATTATATGAATTTTAGAAAGGTCGAAGGAAAATGCAGAATCGAAGGAGAGAAAAGACATAAATGGATTGAAGTTATGGGTTACTGTTTATATGATAAGTAACAGTAGATAAATGTATAAAGGAAAAAGATAGTTGAAGAACTAAAGGAATGAAGATTAAGTAAAGGAGGTAGCATGAGAACATTAGAAGATATGTTCTTATTGAGTTGTTCAGTGAAAATTTGAGGACAAATTTTCTTTAAATGAGGGGAGATTTGTAACATCCTCAATACCGAGTTAGTGACCAAATTGTAAAATTTCAGGAATTGGTGATTAAAGTGGGATAATTGAATAGCTCAATGATTTATTAAAAATATGATGAAGGTTATTTAGTAATTATTGAATGAGGTAAAGGGTAAAATAGTCATTTGACATGGAAGATTTTTATTTTCCTTTATTAGATAAGGAAGCCAACGTGGAAGAGAAAAGAAGGCAAAATAAACTTCCAGAGTTCTCTTCTTCTTCAGCCGTGAGTCACCATGGCAAATGTGAGTTTTATTGTTAGTTGATTATTGTTTGAAATAAAAGTTGGTTTATGATTATTAGATGATAACTAAGCTTAAGGAAAGCTTAAGTTATCTTAAAATTAAAGTATGATGGAGTTAGGAGGGATTAAAGATTTGACGTTCTTGGGTGAAATCTTGAAACAGAGTTCATAACTAGAGTTGGAAGTTAAATTTGACTTGTCAAGGGTCTAATTAAGAAGTTAGAAGCCATAGAATTGAAATTAAAACATATTGCAAAGTTGGTTTAATTATTGAGTTACATATGAGGAATAGAATTTTGAAGTTAAAGATGGTTTATATGGATATAAATTGGTTTAAGCATGTGTATATGAGTTAAGAACATGAAAGGGGATGAAATATGAAGCATTTGAGTTGATTTGAGTAGATTTTCGGGCTTAAAAATGAATTCTGGGCTATGTGCATCGATGCATCAAGGGTAAATTTCCAGAAATTGTTCAGAGTGTATCGATGCACAGGAAGTGCATCGATGCACCCATTAAAAATGGAAACATCGAATGCAATTAATGTATCGATGCATAAGGAGTGCATCGATGCACATGTTAAGGGATGCATCGATACACTGTAGAATGCATCGATGCACTTCAAGGGGAAATTGAAATAGACATTTCTTTTGGTCTAAAAAATGATAGATTAGAGTATATCAATTAAATACTGATATGTATCAATGTATGTTTATATAGATATCGAGCACGAACAAGTTCCAGAACGATTATCAAGTTAAGATTCAATCGAAAGAGATGAAAGCATAAAAGTGGATTGAAACTTAGTGAGGCCAAGGTGAGTGTATATGCATTAGTATATGATATGTGTGGAAAAGACTCGCGATGAGTCTACTTCCAACATTCGATTACATGATTTTATGAATATTAATATGGGTGATATGATTATTATTTATGCATGAATATAGTCATAGGTGTTATATGTGAACATGTGAATTATATGAAAAGTGATATGAATTACATGAAAAGAAACTATATGTCTACATGTATATGTGAAAGAAGCTATGAGCTTATATGAACAAGTGATATGAAAATGTATATGTGAAATGATAAAAGTGAAAATGCCCATGTTATGTGTAAAGAGAGATAGAGGTATAGTTGGCATGCCAAGAGTCGAGGGTTCTACGTGGTCCTTCGGGACATATATTTCTATGGAACATTTATAGGGTCTTATGAGACACATATGTGATCCATTGAAATATGTATATGGTTCTTAAGGAGTGGTCTTTCGGGACAAATATAGTACATAGATCATTCGGGACAAATATAGTACATAGATCATTCGGGACAAAATTCATAGCCCCTAGTGGGACCCCATACGAGCTGTGGTGACAGCATAGTGCACAACCTCAATAGACTCACATATCTACAGTTCTCACAGATGTACATGGTCTAACAAAGAGATAACAGTAAAAATATATTACATGTAAAGTATATGCTTTTGTGATATGAATTGCATCTTATGATTTATATGATGAATGATGTGTACATTTGATTAAATGAAATGATATATTATTTTGTGTGATAGCATGATATGATATGATATGATATGTTCATGCATGATTAAGTAGTTAGAATTATTTTAATGTATTTAATGCCTCACTAAGTCATAGACTTAACGTGTGAGTGTTTCACACGTAGGTTATGGAAAGCAAGAAGAGAAGTTTAGAGGAGCAAAACATATCATATTCTCCTTTCCACAATTCAGATCAGATATAGGTTTAAATTATATATTTTGTCATATGAAATGTAGTTGGCATGTAAGATAAAAGATTTGTATTGGAACCGCTCTGATCAATTTGTAAAATCCTATGTTTTTATATAATAGAAATTATTTGGGGTTTAGTGGAAATGTCTAGCTGAATTTCATTGAATTTTGTCAAAGTAAACGTTTTGAACGGTCAATGTGACACCTCGGACTCGTATTCGGGTCGGGTACGGGTTGGGGTGTTACAAACCGCCCCTAAGTTTCCCAAACAAAGAGTAGACAACGCTAATTGGTAGCAATAACCCAGCATTCTCAACATTTTCCATAATAGCAAACGCCTTTGTGGTAGTAACAGTTTACTGACAAAGGAATTAGAAAGCCAGGGCAGTGGATGGAAGGCAGACAACAAACCCAAAATCACAAATACAAACACAAACACACGTATAGATGGATTCGAATTTTAAATTGATCAAAAGTTGATTGTATTAAAGCATCTTAGAAACTATCAAATGTGATACCATAAACTATTGTCCAGTGTTCTATCATATTATGCAGACATATTATGTACTTTTTAAGTGGAAACCGGGAAGGCATTTCCCAATATATCCATGATGCATTCAAGCACTTGGCCTGCCAGTTGCTTGCAAAATATTCATGAATTGTGAAACAAAATATACACAGAGAAAACTGTTGGATCGAACATTAAGAAATTTGACGTCGAGTTGCATTCTTGTTAATGAGAAAACCTGAGTTGGAAGAACCAACCCGGCTCGACTCCGGACATAACCGGAGACCTTGTAGTACCGGACCGAAAGAATGCAGAGCAAAGCAGCGTAAACAATTCAAATGTTCCATGGAATCATTTAACAAATTCAGAGCTTCAAATTAATTAAAAATAAAGCAGGACAATATTACATGAAGAACTACTAGTTAAGGAAACTGATACTCTTATATATCAATTCAAAGTCTACTGTATTAGCTTCAGGTTCTCATTTCTCTATGAACAAAGCTTTGAAGTATATAAAGGAAAAAGCAAAGGAAATACCACCAAATTGTGGAAAAACCAATCGAAATTCCCTGCTGCTGCAAACATTCAATGCAAGCAAAAGAGATGATGATGATGAAGAAATGAAAATCACTATACAACCTTTTGTTTCAAGCTTTTGGGACAAAATCGAAAAGGAAACTCAGTTGAGTTCAAGCATCAATCGTCGACTTTAACGAGACTATCTTCTATATGGCGCACGAGATCAATATCGATATCCCCATCTCCATCGTCATCACCGTTGTCCAAGTCCAGTTCCTCAATTTTGGCGGGATCAACATTCACATTCTCCTTTCTGGCATTGTCCTTACGAGTAATGACGAGGAGGTGTTCTAAGGCCTCCCTTACCCGCTTTCTCGCAAGCGTCGCCTCCCTTACTTTCTGGTCAGCCTCGGCCCATGCTACGGTGACGGCCTTCCCCATGGAGGAGGAGGCAATCTTGGAAGCACAGAGCAAAGCGAGGGCAAGCTTCTTGTCAATCCTATTTTCCTTGATAGGGAAGAAAGAGAAGGAGGAGTCCTTACAGAGCGGGCAGAGGTAAGAGGTAAGCAAGGTGTCCCCGGCGCAGTGAGAGTGGGTGATGAAGGAGCAGCTGGAGCAGGCGACGCGTTTCGAAGGGTGGGGAGCGGAGCCGGCGTAGAAGACGAAGCAGACGGGGCAAAAGGAAGAAGGGTGGAGGCGGAGGACACATGCAGTACAAAGGCGGCGGAGGATGCCTAAATGACGGACTTGGTGGAGAAAGGAGGAAGCGCGGCCTCTGCAGTTGCTGCATTCTTTGGATGGTAATGGAATGTTGAGTTTGGTGGAGGTGGGGAGGTTCATGCCAATACAACCATTCCTAGTAGTCAAACTCGTAGCCATGGTAAGGATCTTCTTCTCCGCCCTCCCTCCGCCTCTGGGATTTTAGCTTTCAACGTGTCGTCTTTTCTTTGTTAAAAGTATATTTAGGGTTTTACTATGTTTTAAGCGGGCATTGACTAGGGTCAAGTTTAATTCGAGGAGAGTCAAGGAAGTTAACAAAAATATTAAAATAAATTATGTATTTATGTTAAATGAATATTAATTAGGATAATATCACTCAAATACTATTATTTTTATTTTTATCTTCAGATTATTTTTCGATCATGTTACATTTTATCTATTTTAATCATCGATTATTAAAAAAATAAAAAATCTATAATATGGTATCATTTTAATTTTAATCTTCAAAATTTATATATTTTATTAATTAGATTTTAATTTAAAATAATTTAATAAATTTTATTTTTAATATTTTTAGTTAATACTCAGTTGATAAAATATATAAATTTTAAGGATTAAAATTATTATTATAATAAAAAAGTTAACGATGAATGATCACAATGAAAAAACATGATACTATTACCAAATTTGTAAAACAGAAAAATATTTGATAATCAAAGTAGAGAAACAATAATAATATAGTGATTAATGGTATAATTTATTTAAGATAAAAAGTCTCTGAACTTAAAAACAAATAATGTGACTTTTGTATTATTTTTTCACCTAATGGAGCCCTCTAACTTAGAAAATAAATTTGATGTGATTATTTGATCAATATTTTCCGTCGTTGATTGTAACGGTGTTAACATGGTAGTTCATGGTATGACATGGTAGTCCACAACTTTGACATGACAGTCCACAGTGGTGATGACATGGCGTATGCTATGACAGATGAATTAAACTGGTTTTTTAGTTTTGATCAAAGTTCAAAATGATTTTTTTCAAAAACTTTAAGGACTTATTTATTTTTTAAAAACAAAATTTATTTTAACTTTTAAATATAAAATTATTTAAATATTAAAATACTTAAAAAATTAAATTACTAAAAAGGTTTAATATATATTAAAAATACTAAAACTATTATAATTTTTTAATATATATAGTTATAAATTATTAAAAATAATTTTAAAAAATATATTGTACATAATTTAAACATGTAACATATAGACATATCATCAACACTTATACAAAGTATTCTCATTAGAATAATCTAGACTTAAAAAATTTAAATTAATTGAGGCTTAATTTTTTTTTTGAATTAGTTGAAACTTATTATGTTTTCTAATTATCTTTTATGTCAAAACTTATTGCATAATTATCTTTCAAATTAGTCGAGACTTATAAAAAGATTATTAGAAAACATAATAAGTTTCGACTAATAAAAAATTATAAGTCTCAACTAATTTAAATTTTGTTAGTTTCGATTAATCTAGTAAAAATACTTTGTATAAATATCGATGATATGTTTATATGTTACATGTATATATTATGTATAATCAATTTTTTTAAAATATTTTATAAGTAATTGATTTATAACCTATTACATATATTCAAAAACTTTAAATTTTTTATAATAGTTTAATATTTTTAATATGATATTTTATTTTTTAGTAATTTAATTTTTTAGCATATTTTATATTTAAATTTTTGAATATTTCAATAATTTTATATTTAAATTTTAAAACAAAATTTATTTTATAAAAATTAAATAATCCTTTGAACTTTTGAAAAAAAATAATTTGACACTCGAACAAAACTAAAAACCTAGTTTAACCCATATGCCATGTCATTCGCCATGTCATCAGCTATTATGGATTAACACGTCAATATCATGGACCACCACATAAGTACCGTGAATTGTCACGTTAACACCGTAACGGTAAACGGCGGAAAACATTAGTCAAAGAGACTTATTGAGTTTATTTTTTTGAGTTAAAGGTCCACATTAAATAAAAAATTAATACGAGATTTATATTAGTTTTTTTTAAAGTATAGGGGCCTCTTATTCCTATTTTCTTTTATTTCATAAATTTTTAATATATATTTTAATAATTTTAGTATATTAAGTTATGTCAATTTTTGTGTTAAATATTAATTGTCGGTAATAAAAAATATAACGTTGGTGACCAATTATGAGAAATATAATAGTATGATTACCAAAATAGGAGAACTAATAGTATTGTGACCAGTAGTGCTATTTACCCTACATTCTCTATAGTTTCTTTTTTACTGTTTAGGGTCCACCCTAAACCCTAATGTTGAGCTAAAACTAACGTTGTGTTTCATTATCTTCTTTAGAACTGCATACTCAGTACGTGAAACAAGCAACTACACAAATTCTTTTGACTTCCATCATCATGATACCCTAATCGTTTGTTTGTACATTAGCATTACAACAAGCAGGTGCCCCAAATGAAGAACATTTCCCCTGCATCTCATCCAAATATCGTCCTGCCACCATCATGGTTTCTCTTAGCTTCAGTCGAGAGGCGTATATAGCTAGTTCAAACAAACCATTGTTTCCCTACTGATTAGTGTGTTCCGCCGTTCCTCGCTGAATCCCAAAGCTTCCATTGCTGTAATTCTCTTATTCTTTAATTTCCTATTATTGCATTGATGTTATTTGGATGTGTAGTGTCTGTCTCTGAGTATATATAATTTGTTTATTGATTAAAGTGAGAACACAAGAACAATCATTGTCTTTTGCTTCTAACTTCTGATCCGACTCTTTGATTTTGATCCATCCCATGAAAGCATTAATTCTGTTTACAGCTTCATTCCATCACTGATTTTTATGCTACAGCTTGTTAATCTGTCTAAGCTCATACTCTATAATTTTTATTTTTGTTTTTTACAAGGTATCGGTTACTTGAAATAGAGGATCCTTATTGCCGCTATTTTCCGTTACACTGCTATTTGCGACCGCTGTTGATGTGAAATTCATTCATGAGTCTTTAGCGGTGTCGGTCAGTGGTACAGCTACACCCTCCTCTTTTTGAAACCCTGTCCTAAACTAGTTTAGTTTACAATGGCGACGACCCCAGTTACTCAAGATCAAGAAAGCGCACTCTAGAAGAGGCATTGGAGCGAAGGTTTGCCGTTGCTAAAACCGAGTTTCTTGAACAACATAAGAAGAACAATAAGACATTTGTGGAGGAAGATGGAAAAGGAACTCCTAGCAGTAATTCCTCTTTTCTCAACACTCGCATCGCAACTCCCTCCAATTCCTCATCAAAGAAAGGTTTCCCCAAAGTTTTCAGCTATCTTCCCGTCCTTTTCCTTATCCTTTTCAATTTTTATTTGGCTAATTTTTGTTTCCTTTTGGTGTTACATTCAGGAAATTTCCTTTTCTCGAGTCCCTCTAGTTTGCAAGGTAGTTTCGCTTTTCTAGCATCGCTGACTGTGGACATTTAAGTATGTTATATGTCTTGGTTTTGACATGACATGAATTATAATTTTATATATAGACGTTGAAGAAAATGGTGAAGTGTATTCCAAGCTTTCGGAACCTATCGCATGATAATCTTGATGTTTCTTGTTGTAGTTTTCCAACAAAAAAGGAAGCAGGGCTGATAAGATATTGCATGAGCTTCGTCAAGGTGGGGATTCAGCTCAGAAATATATGCAAAGATCTAGAAGTATCAAATTCGACAATTGGATCCTTCTTGATAATTTTGTGAAAGGGCGAGTTATGTCTACGGGCTCTCAAATCAGGGCTTTGAAGACCCACTCTAAGCGCTCTAAAAGACATATGTTGATGAAGCAACTTAAGAAATCGGGAGTACTTGAACTGCCTCAAGATAATCAAAAGTCAGTATTCTGTCACGGATATGGTTGTTGCTCTTTTCCCCTTTTTTTGTTGTAGGATCATTATTATGAACCTTTGTGTCACATTGTTCTTCACTATGAGGCTAAGTTCAGTAACCAGGATGATCTCTTTTCATTTTTAGATCCTTTATATGGAATTGATGTTTTTAGACTTTAATTGGTCATTTTCTGGAAAGAGTGAGGATGTTAGGAAGTGTTTACATATGTGTGGAGAATGCTTTGAGGTTTGTTCCACAATTTATAGAAGAATAGGAACAAAACAGAAGATCTCCTTGTTGATTGTTAAAATGGAAAAAAATGAGACTGCAACAAAAGGATTTTAGTTAGTAGTTCTTTGTGAATGTTATGTGTTGATGTTGTTCAATTATTTATTTTAAAAAAAAATAATTGTTATGTCTTTAATATTCAGGTTTGATACATTTAAACCAATGCATGAAATGTGGAAAGGCTATATGAGTCAACTTCTTAAAACTACTGGGTAAGATATTCATTGTACTTATGTTGGTTATTCAGTCGTGTGGAGTTGGAGGGTAGTAGTTTCTATCGAACTGTATGATTGTTAAATGATTTTTTTAGTCTGATTCTATATCCATTTCTTAATTACAGGAAAAATCAGTTGGCTCAATGTATTATTTGTGCGGATCTACATGGTGCCCTCATTCTAGGTTGGGTTATACTTCACTTCTGGACCAATGATTCATATTATTCGGGCAACTTTATCTGTTTCTCAGGATGCAAAATTATTTAGACTTTACCCACTTCAAGCAACCAATTTTATGATGGGAACAACGAATAATAAGTTTCTTTTGCGGTTTCCACACATTTCATATTATTATGAAAGAACTTATAACCTTTTCTCATTGAAGTAGAATGATCCTGGAAATACAATAGCCCGTTTGAGAAAACCCGTTGGAGCCACTATAAGTTTATAGGTACCCTTTATCAATTCTTTGATCACAATTTCTCTAAATCAATTCAAAGAGCAATTATGTAGTTATCGATTCTGCCTTTTCTGAGACTGAATACTTCATTCCCCTTCTTTTTACGGAAAGCTTTGCTCTAAAAGGGGTAACCAAAGAATGCTATTTTGGTTTAGACCATGACCACACACAGGCATATTTGTGGGTATTCACTGTAATCTTATGTATTTTCTGATAGTAGCTGAGTGCAACGTAACTAATTTCACTGGAGTGAGTGGCATTATGATTCGGGAAACTGCGGAAACATTTGGTATAATAACCCATGACAGTAAACTCCAAGGTAATCCAGCCATCGTTTTGAAAGCCGTACTATTTCTGGTATCGCTAATTATAACTTTTTTCTATTGAGTACCATTTATTTGCTGTACCTGCACTCACAATCACTTGCATATACTCGTGTGTGTGTGTATATATATATATATATATATATATATATATATATATATGGTGTATGGCTGTACTTATTCTCTAAAGAAATACAAAACTATAAAGCTCGCAAATACATAGGTTTCTCATCTGTTGGCTGTTTATGTGTGTGTGTTGTATATATATATATATATCAATTCTTGACCGTTGGGGAGAGCAACGAACGGAAGTGGAGCGGTGCAATCGTAATGACGGTGACCAATGATCTATTTGGGTGTCGCCTTTAAATTCGAACTCGAGAGGGGAACATTCTATTATTTAAGTCGAATGATTATTTGTGGATGATTTGTTGACTTGGATTTTATATTTACAACTTGTTTGATGGAGTGCATGTAGTTTACTTTGCTTAGTAATTAAATTGATGTTGCAAATTCTTTATCGTTGGCAAGATTATAGAAATATAAATTGCCTATTTATGAGTTGAGAGGCGAGTAAACTTATAGCAGCAATGCTTCGGAAATAGTGTTAGCATAAAGAAATTTTTGCTTACTGACTACCACAACATTTTTAGCATGGTTATGTAATTAAATATAAATTGATTTCACGTCTGTTAAATAATGTTTGACGCATTGATTTATTTGCTAGAGAAAATAACCTCAGTGACCAAAAATGTCTTATAATATACGATTTTAATCAAATTTTTTTGGATTTGCCAAAATGACCAACTAAATCGTAATGCGATCGATAATTCACAACGCGATCTCCGGTATCGCAAATCAGTTTCCAGATTCACAACGCGATTCTGACTATCGCATTGCGATTTCCCAAATTCGCGTTGCGATTTTCCTAATTCACAATGCGAATACATAAATCGCAACGCGAATTTGAAAAATCGCAATGCGATTACGTAAATCGCAATGCGAATACGTAAATCGCAATGCGAATACGTAAATCGCAACGCGAATCTGACTATCGCAACGAGATTCTGACTATCGCAATACTGATTTTCAAATTCGCAACTCGATTTCTGAATTCGCAACAGGTTTTAGTTTCGCAACACAAATGTTTTGGGTATATAACTACGCAACAGCAATAACTCATAACCTAAATCCCTAAATCGCAACTCATTCCATCTCCATCTATCACTCTCTCCGGCGACATCCGTTCCTATATCCAACGACATCCTTCCCCATCCGGCAACAGTTTTAGTTTCGCAGCTCGTTTGTTTAGTAAATTAATTTACAATAATGAAATCATCTAATGTTGATCATGTTTGGATAGATTTGTGTTTTGGAGGGTCATGGGAGAATGTTCATGGTGTTTTACAATATATGCCTTTACCCATGAATCTTCAACTAAAATGTCATTAAAAAAGTTAACTTATGAAACTCTAATGTTACGTGTTGCAAATAAATTGAATTTAGAGCCCCTAAGTGGATTTAGGATATCTTATCAGAGAAATGGTAAAGTTTATTTGTTAACCGACAATGAAGATGTTGAACGATTCATTGCTTACATTAGTGTTTCAAGTGATGATGTTACATTGTATGTTGTTGAACCTAGAAGTTTATGGTGTTCAAAATTTAATGGTTCTACCACAATTTCATCACCAAGCAAATATTGTTTCACCACATTTCCAATACCAAACACAATCTCAAAACCCATAACCTTTCCCTAATCAAAATCCCAATCAACTTTCAGCACCAAATTCCGGTTTTCGTATTGACCAGTTAGACGATGATGAGCCAACAGAAAAAATTGTTAGTACTAGTCAGTATTCGAAATTTGATCTTGGTCAATACCCGAACTTTGATCTTGGTCAATACTCGGATTTTGATGATTTTTCAGAAGAATAAACAGACCCTGCGTGTAATGATTTTGATATTGGTCAATACCCGAATTTTGATGATGAAACAGCCGTTGCCGAGGAAGATGTTATTGATGATAATGAGGAGGAAGTTACGACTGTAAATGAACATGTTGAACATTCATTCTGTAATTCATATAACACTGAAGAAGAAAAAGAAGAAGAAGAAATCCCCAAAGAAAAGTCCCCGAAGAAAATACCACAGGAGTATAACTGGAATATGCCATAATTACTTCAGATACCGGAAGAAGAGTTGGTAAAGATAGCAGTTGATTGTTACACAAAAATTATTCGTATCAAGAAAGATGATTGTTTTTATACAAAGGAAGACTTGAAGATAGCTTTGTATACGAAATGTGTGGAAGATGGCTATCAACTAAAAGTTAACAAATCAAGCAAATATCGTTTCGAAACAAGGTGTATGATTGACAAAAATTGTATGTGACGTATGATTGCAAAGAGGATAAAAGATTGCGAAATGTTTCAAGTTAGGACTTTTATTGATAAACATACATGTTCAAGAACCCAAGTTTTTCCTCACCATAGACAGGCAAACAAAAAGGTGTTGGGTGATTTTCTGACTGAGTTAATATTTTTGAATGGCAGGGTATATCGGGGACATGAAATTATGACTGACATGAATGCTCGGTTCAAGATTAGTATCTCATATTCTCAAGCTTGGAGAGCCAAATGTTATGCCTTGGAATTGTTGAGGGGGTCGCCAGAAGCATCGTTTGCCCAACTGACGGCTTATTGTCACAATTTAAAGCTGAAAAATCTTGGGTCGGTAACTCATATCAAAACAGATAGAGATGGACGCTTTGAGTTGCTGTTTATCGCCATTGGTGCTGCGGTTAGTAAATCAATATAATTTTGTTGACTCATTTTTGTTAGTTACATGCATTCACATTTAAATGATTATATTTCTTGTGTATATGATTTTGTTGATTCATTCGTTTATTAATTGCATGCGCCCAGTTATTATAATTGACGGAGCACATTTAAAAGCTCGATACCTTGGAGTAACTTATTAGCAGTAGCCATGGATGCTAACAATGGGATACTGCCAATAGCTTACGGGGTTGGCAAATCTGAAACCTCTTATTCATGGACATGGTTTATGGGGCATCTTATTGCATAGGTCCTATTAGCAATCTGACAATCATATCCGATAGGGCAAACTCAATTGACAACGTTAGAAGGTGTTTCCCAGATGCTTTTCATGGACTTTGTGGTGTTCATTTGTATAGAAATCTAAAATCAAGGTCTGCTGGTATAAAAAATCACAAATGGACATACTGGAAGGCTGTAAAAGCTTATCGGGAAGTGGATTTTAATAAGCATATAAACTGTTTAAGACGTGTTTTGCCTCAGTGTGCTCAAACACTAGAAGATGTCAGGTTTGAAAGATGGTCAAGAGTACATCAACTTGGAGCAAGATATGGTTTCATGACGTCTAATAGTGCAGAATCAATCAACGCTCTAAGTCGTCATTCCCGGAAATTACCCATTACTATGTTAATGGAGTTTTTTCGAGCCTCTATTCAACAGTGGTACTACAAGAAAAGAAACCATGCAGGTATTATTTCTTTAAATTCGTAACTTATCATATATTTTACTAAGTATTATTTATTTAAATTTACAGGAACATTGGAACATCGTGTTACACCATGGACTGAAAAAAAGATAACGAAACATGTTGTGAAGTCAACGTCATGGAGAGTTGAATCATGTTTAAACACTTTGTTTGAAGTACTGGATAATAACTTAAATGGGCTTGTCGATCTAAATGCAAAGACATGTAGTTGTATGAAATGGAAAACATCTGGTTATCCGTGTGGCCATGTTATAAAAGTTTATCTTCATCTAAACCAAGATGATTCAAGCGCATACGCTATGGATTGCTACACTACAGAAGTATATCGACAAACTTATGGCGAGATTATCTACCCTATTCCACACCTTCTGAGTGTGACATACCAGATGACTTACAAACAGTTTTTCCACCAGCCATGGACAGAAGGCTACCTGGCCGACCAAAAAGTCACGATCGTATACCGTCTAAGGGTGAAGAGAAGAAGAGATCGACATGTAGTCGGTGCAAGGAAAGTGGTCATACAAGTTTGAAATGTGGATCACCAGTGCCATCACAATCATCTTTTCCTCTACCAAAATATGGATCCACATCAAATTCCCAATCACAACCGGCTTCACCTTTTGGGACTGTTAACTTAGGTGATTTTTTAAATGCAAACGTTGTATTATGTGTATATTATGTGTGAACTTTTAACATTTTTAGTTAGGCATGTATTAGTAACTTGAGTTTGAACATTGCTATGATATGTTCAGTTGTTATCACTTATTAGACATTCATTTGACTATCGCAACGCGAATATGACTATCGCAACACGGAAATGACTATCGCAACGCGGAATTGACTATCGCAACGCGGAAATGACTATCGCAACGAGAGAATCGCAATGCGAAATGAAAATCGCAACGCGAAATTAGTTTCGCATTGCGATTTTCATTTTCGCATTGAGATTCACTCGTTGCGATTTTCATTTCGCATTGCGATTCTTTCGTTGCGATAGTCATTTCCGCGTTGCGATAGTCTGTTTTGCATTCAACATAATGCAGACTAAAATCAAAAAATCAACTATTACATTTCAATCAATTAAACAAGCACAAATAATAATTATGTACACATCAATTAAACAAATCAACATTTACAAATCATCTTTTACAAATCAATTAAACAATCAAAAAATAATAATGAATTATTTCCTCATCAATTATTGAATCAACTTTTGCACCCATACATCCATTCCACGCAGATCACTTCAGGATTAACCTGCAGAAATCAAACATTGAATCAACAACACTTTCTACACATCTAAAACCTACAAACAACAAATTATTGAATTCTAGCTAATTAACCAAACATTTTCAAACCAAAAAGAGTATATATGTTTAACAATACTTGCATTTGACTTACAAATTATTTATGGACACTTTCATAATGCGAATGCAGGTAGGCAGCGTCTCGCATATATCGCTCTAGCCATAAAATGCCGAAACCATAAGCCTACTGCACCTCTATCTCTATCGGTGGGAGGTAGAAAATGTGTACTTCCTGTCGTCAA